ACAATTACATGTAAGTACATTTAGAAAGTAACAGATGGGTTTTCATTTTAATCATGTTCAATAATGTTTTAAACATAGTAGCATACACATGTATGTATTGCAGACCTATGTTCTTTAAAATACATGTGGTGCTGTTTTATTACCAAGTTCAGTCAGTCGAGCCTGATACAGTAGTAGTTGAAAATGGAAAGTTTTGCAAGATTTGGTCACTGTGTTCTTGCTGTTTGTGATGACTAGCTTGTTGAAACATTGTTTACAAGCAAGTACCCAGGAAAGCTTGCTAAGATATTTTTTGCTATCAAAATTGTAATTTTGTGTTCTTTGTTTAAAAATACAGGTTTCAGAGTGAGTTCTCAAGCACTGATGATGCAAAAACAGGTGGCAAAGAGGTACTTAAAATTATAACAGTTAGAGTATACAAAGCATAATTTTGGCATTTGTTGTTCAAAGTTTCCTGCTAAACATCACCAAGGTCTTAAAAAGGGCTCAGTTTCTTTGACCTTTTAGTGGCCCACAACAAAAAAAGTGACATCTGAGTCAGTTTTTGTCCTATCTTTATCTTTGTTTGTACCTGTATTTTATGGTTGCTCAGGGTTGTCCCGAAGTCTCAGCTGAGCAGAGATAATCGCTAGCTGGATTTTGCCAGGCAATCACTTATAATCATTCGATATCTGAACCATATCAAACCGTCTAAATGAAAAGTTTGCAATAAATTCCTGTCTACCTCGTGTACTGATGCCACCATAACAAGTAAAGTGATTGAAATAAAATCTTGTTTTGGGCACTTGTTTAGCGTGTTCTCTTTTCGTGTACTGTGTGTACCATCTTGCAAATGCGAAGCTTGGTAGCCCCACACTTAAAACATTGCAAAAGATTGGAAACAAAAAAATTTGTTCCAGGACTTTCGCAAAAAATGCTGACTGGTTCAATGAAAATTGTATCCGCATTTTGTAGCTACATCCCTAGTTGCTAATTAATTTCTTGTCTTTTCCAGACAGACAAGCAGATATCCAAGCTGCTAAACTTATCTGAGGTTTGTGGGGCTAATTATTTTTTTGACTACCAAATTGAGTACCAAGTTGATAAGTTAAACCTGAATGACCAGTGATTGAGAGCCCTGTATGTAATTCAGTCATCTTTCCCTTCTTCAATCAGTATAACATGTATTTCTTGAGCACAAATTCTTTCAGTGTCAGCTCTTGTATTAGGCTACATGTAAGTGATGACCATGTCTACTTAAGGTGGCTCTAAACAGTTTCCAACACTTAGATTTTGATGGGTTGTTATAACCACTCTTTATCACTTGATGCTACAATCATGGTATCAAAAAACTGCCCAATCATTTAAGGTGGCTCTAAACTGTACCTACAGAATTTTTTTTAAACTTACACAAAAGTTGCGTCTTATCATGCTTATCAAAAGTTGATAATATAGAAAAATTTCACTGTGCCGTTTTTGAATTATAAGCCCCTAAAGTTGTAATAAGGGTGCTTTTAGGAGGTCATACTGTTGCTATGGTAACCTATTGCATGATAACAATGTGTTCACTAATGATTGGGCAGTTTTTTGATACCATGATTGTAGCATCTAGTGATAAAGAGTGGTTATAAAGACCCATCAAAATCTAAGTGTTGGAAACTGTTCTGAGCCACCTTAAAGCAGCAAAGATATATCTGCCTTCAGTTTTCCCCCAGTACTGAAATGCTCACTTCCCAGTACGTAGCATGGTCTCTTTTGTCAACACAATACCTTCATTCACTTGATTGCAATTTATCCACTGTCATTATCTCACTTTGGACAGTTCAAGTCTACATGTAGTATGTTAACTGCGGACGAGCAGAAATAAAAAGCAGCTAGATCTGTGGCTATTGATTCAGTCTTGAACTGGAGGCAGCATGGCCGAGTGGTTAGGGCACCAGACTTGAAATCTGGAGGTCACGGGTTCAAGGGCTGCCCTTACCACTAAGCTGGAGTTGTTTCTTGGTAGACCCCAGTTCAACTCCTGGTCATGCTTGCAAATAGCCAGCTGGTCTGCCTCTGGCCAGGTGGGATATTTAAGCCTGTTATGTTTATTTGCGATATTTGTTTCTTTCAGGTTAGTGGCATACCTGAAAAGTAGCTAGTTGTAGCTAAGTGCATCATCCGCTATAAACATTCAACATTTAACATTTAACTGTGGACTGAGCACTCTTCTTGTTTTACAGCTTAAATTACATGTAGCTTAAATTGCATCGTGCCATGAAATAATTATGTCGTGAATTGTGAATACTGCGGATCTGTAATGTATCAATGTAGGAAATTAACAGGAAGTTACCATCCCTTTTTCCCCAGGTCTTTGTTGCCATTCTCAGAGCCCATGGATTGCTGACAAGGCTTGTGTATTCTTTGCAGGTAAGAGATTTTTGTTGGAAAAAATTGTTGTCCATAGTTCTAATGCAGTGCAAACCTTCAGCAGGACACTGGTTTAGGGAGAATAAAGTGACAGACATTTTAGGCCAATATAATTGCATGGCATTAGTGTATGACTCTGTTTTGACTCTGTCTTAACATTTTTCATGTCAGCCTATCTCAGCAAAAGGTGATGCCGAGAATAAAACAAGTCCAAAAGTAAGTGTTAAAACTAAAAGTAGGAAATGGAGTCTTATACAAGGTCCCTTTGCAACTTCAGCCATATCACACTATGTTTTAGAGAGATCAGTCATTTTTGGTTGGTTGCATTAGCTGGAACTTTTGTGTTCATTAATTGACTTTTTGAATCAGTATCATGTTGCATCTAGAATCATCTGTGATCAAAATTCAGCAAGCCAGGAGTCAGCTTGTTTCTTTAAAGAACCCATTCAACTAGCCAGAGACAGTACTTGACTCTAGTAGAACCCGGAAAATGGCCTGATATTTACTATCAACTGCTTCAACTAAATGTCATTTGAAATGTAGTTATAGGTGTATGGCAAACTCCATACAGT